TTGAAGTTTTTTAAAAAACGGTTATTTGACGTTTTTTTTTGTATTCACGGCTAATGATTGCCTTCGGGCATGAAACTTTAAGTCCCGCTATTTAGTTGTTTTTCCCAGTGGGCACGAACGTAAAAAAGACGTCTTCTAAACGTCTTATATACGTTTTCGAAGTCTCTTGAATGCCTTTTTAACGTTTTGGACGTCTTTTGAACGTTTAAAATTCATCTTTTTTAGGTCCAGTGCCCACTGGGTTATTGATTTAATTACATAAAGTATATATATATATATATATATATATATATATATATATATATATATATATATATATATATATATATATATATACATATATATATATATATATATATATATATATATATATATATATATATATATATATATATATATATATATATATATATCATATATATATATATATATATATATATATATATATATATATATATATATATATATATATATATATATATATATATATATATATATATATATATATGTATATATACACCGGACCTAAAAAAGACCAATATATATATATATATATATATATATATATATATATATATATATATATATATATATATATATATATATATATATATATATATATATATATATATATATATATATATATATATATATGTATATAAACACCGGACCTAAAAAAGACGTCTTTTGAACGTTCAAAAGACGTCCAATATATATATATATATATATATATATATATATATATATATATATATATATATATATATATACATACATATTTTTATTATTATTATTATTATTATGAAAAAAAATATATATCTGCAAAAAAGTATATTTTTAAGAACTCGTTCTTCGTAAAATAGTTAAAAAAAATTGGTGGCACTCTTTATTAATGTTTTTTCATGACATTTATGATTATATATATCTGCAAATATTGTTTGTGTGATTCTTATGGAAGTTAACCATCCTTTGACAGTGGTTTAGCATTTTTGTCGGTGGAAGCGTAAACGTAAAAGCACTAACATTTGATAATTTTGGCTTAACACACTGTGATACCATAATTTAACTTTCTAAATTCTTCATCGCAATCATGAAGTGCATTTGGATGTACCTAATGCAATCATATTCTTATCTTTTGGACAATCATTAAGTAAATTTGGATGTACCTAGTGCAATCATATTCTTATTATTTTCGTTTATTATTTTCGTTTATTCTTTTTTTCGTTCATTATTTTTGTTTATTATTTTCGTTTATTATTTTCGTTTATATATTAATTATTTAACAATTAAGATTAGTGTAATTGTAAGATACATTTGAGTAACAAGGTTCAGTGATCGTATAGATTCGAGTAAGTTTTTGTTTATCAAGAAAAATATAATATTATTGTTTTCGTATGAGGGATGCGATTCAGAAGAATTAGTATTTTCATTCAAGCCATAAAGATCATAACTAAAGAAAAGTTTAAAATTTGTATTTATTTATTTTCGTTTTTTCTAAAACCTAAATTAAGTTCAAAAGTCTTCAACAGCGGTTCTTGGTGACGAGACCTGTGTGGTCTTCTTTAAGAATTCGCATTCTTTATCTTTATTCTATTACATATTTGTAAATTTTGTATTAAATATTGTAATAAAGAACAAAAAAAAAAAGAAATCCCTCTTAAAAGTTGACGCAATTTTTTATCTTGTTTTCTGTGTAACGTAAGTCAAGTGATATTTTCAGTAATAAGTTTGCCCTCTTTTAGCCAAGCTCAAAATTTTTTAGCTTTTTTAATTCTTCAGACTAACGGCTTTCAAACATTATATCTGAAAGTCTAATTTACAATTTAAATAGGCAAATACTATATAAATTTGTTGCGCGTGAAACGTAAGTTAAAAATGAAATTGCCCTTATGTCTATATATATATTTATATTAAGATGTTTCAAAAAAAGACATATAAAATTTTTAACTAACATAGCCTTCCATAAAGTTTCCCAACCTTAATATTGCTTTAAAAAATTTTATTTAATTATTTGACCACTCCATGGCTTTCCTAAATGTGTCTAAATGTCTTTTTTTTACACTTCTTTTTTCAGATAAACTGAGGGGAGTGTTCCTAACATGAAGTTTTTATTTATTTTAAATTTTATTGTTGATTAAATAAGATACAAAAGCAATGTTGATTAAAAAAATATGAAAGTTATTAATATAAGATAAAAAAATTAAAAAACAAATAGCGTTTTTGAAGCATTTTTGCATTATATTTGTATTCTATTTAGTAAAATGGGTAATATGTTAAGAAAACTTGAAAACCATGTGTATATTTAGTTTTTAAAAGCACTGGTTGTTTTTGTAATTGTTTTGTTTTTATAAAAAGAAACTTTACATAATCAGTACTATTTTTGATTGAGTTATTGACCTTCTATTTGAGCAATAGATTGTGTGATTTTTCCTCTTTGTGTTGTTTATTGCTTATAAATATTTAATACATTTAAATGTAGTCATTTTGTGAAACATCAATATAGTGTTAATAATAAACAAAGTTGAGATTTGTAACAAAAAATCATTTCAAAGATAAAAAAATGTTTACCTGAACTATTTTTATAGTCACTCTATAAGTATTGAAAATCATTCTGAATATAAATGTGTAACAAATATGAAAAAAAAGCTATTAACTTAACAAAGTTGTCGCTTCCATCAGGATTAGCAGACAGACTGAGTTGCTTGAGATTCCTTATCCTAATTTTAAAACTGAGGAAATACAAAAATACACGCTGTTTTTTCAAGGCGATGTACTTTTTGTTAAAAATTTATTTTGGTATTTTTTTTTTGTTAACTCGTATTTTGTTACCAAGCTAACATTTGGTCCTTTAACAACGTATTTTAAGCGCTCAAGATAGCGCTCAAGTCTTTTACAATTTTTAATTGGGTAATAATAGTTAACTCTTGTCTAATGATATATTCTATTTTTGCTTTCAAATAACATAAAAATTATTTAGGGTAAAAGCTCTACTTTGTTTCATCATTTTTAAACTTTAAATGAACACTTCACCTGAGAATTAAATAAAAAAAAACTTTTAAAAGCCTTAAATGTCAAAAAATATTGGAAAATATGTTACACAATAACCATCTTGGTAGAAATACATACGTGTATACAGAATCAATAAGCTAAAACGGCGCCTTTAAGATAGTAAAGAGTCATTTTCCTATCCTAAATTATGGTAATGTTCTAAATATGGTATATTTAACTTTTTTTTCTATACATACACAGTTTTAATTAATAAATGGGAGTGCAAATTAGAGATAAACATAAACGAGCTTAAATACATAAAAAAAAATTTAAAAAAGCCAAAATTGTTTGTAATGGTATGATTTAAGAAACGCTTCTTCACTTTTTGTTAAGTTCTTTAACTGCGGTTATAAATATAGGATCGAGTTTATAGGAGTAGATTTGGTTTATAGGTTTGGGATTAAAATCCCCAGACGTCGATCCCAACAGTAATTAAGTAGTCCGTTGTTTTAGTAAAGCTGACGGTAAAAAGTGTCGACGGAAAGTCTTGTCAGGTATCTGGGATCAATTAAAGAGAAATATGAGTCAAAGAATGACATGTTAATTTGAAGTTTAAACATAAACAATAAACTTTTATAAAAGTTTAGATTGCGTTCATTTAAAGCAATAATATCTTTTAGTAAAAGCTTGGCATATGCTTATCTATCTACATTAAAAATAACCAATTTGCTTATATTTGTTTAATATAATTTGTTTTTTAATATGGAAGAATAATTAACCGCCTAAGCTATTTTGCAAAAACTGGTTTAGCTACGGATTATCAAAAAAAAAAAAGCTTTATAGGCACATATTATTCCTTCCTTGTTTTGAACATGATCCCTAGAGTTAATGAGATTTTTTTTTTTGTTAACTTATTATAAAGTTTCAATTGTGGTTCATCAAGTAACATACTAAAATTATTAATTGAATGTAATTTTTTATTTTATAATTGAATCTGGTAATTTAAGGGAAAAGATACCATTTTTTAGAGAGTTTTGTGAACATAATGTATTTTGTGTAGTCATTACTTAAGAAGGGTTACTTAAGAAACTAATTTTGCAAACTTTAATTAAACAAGGAAGACTTAATTTATTAAAAAAAGTTTAAAGATAACAAATAATACTTTAATATTAACGACTACTTTCACAACATTTGTTCTAATATTATTAAAACTTTTATTGAACTTTATTGAATTTTGTTGTTAGCTGGTAAAAAACTAAATAAAGCTCATCATTAGAGATTTCTAAACTCTCCATTAAAAAAGTCAGCTTTTTCCAAAATAGACTTGGGTAATTTTTCACCTAAAAGAAATTTATTGGTTATTTAATTTACTCTTTAATTTACTGGTTATTAAGTTTACTATTCTAATTTAAAAAAAAACAAAAAAAAGAAAACAAAAAAAAATTAAAACTTCTTTAAATTATTTAAGATTTTCAAATTATTTTTTTTAATCAAAATAACTCTAGCAACTTTTATATTTTGCTTTGTTAATAAAGTTTGATCTTTTTCAAAATATTTTGTAGAGCTTTTATCTTTTATTTCATAATTTTGAAAGTCATCCAAGGATTATGTACATTAATTTTTATACGACTGTACCAGAAAATAATTATGTAGTCTTTTTTATGATATATCAGCTTTTGCTGTTTTTCTCAAGTGAGTTAAAATGCATGCAATTAAATTTTGTTATTGCCTGTTTTTATTAACATTTCGAAAACGGTCATTTTATGGTGGGGTTAAATGACTCAATAACTCGTAGCTTAATAAAGTTTTTCAACGTAATATCCTTACTTTCTTGTTATACTAGGCTTACTGTAATATCATTTGTAACTTTATTAATACATCAATTTTCATAAAATTTGACTTTTCTTGGCCGAATCCTTCTTTCTCCCCTACTAAAATATTAGTTTAAACTTTTTAGTTGTTGCATAATTTTACTTACAATTACAGGCTATATAAAAGTAAAAATAACATACCACAAACAAAAAGAGTAAATCTTGACTCTGGAGCTAACGCCATGCCTTGTATTAATTGAAATTGAAAACCATTGCGCCAAAGAAACCAATTAGGAAAGTTTGTTGACTGTATTAAAAAGTATGAATCATATGTGCTATTTTGGATATAGAATGAACGATCATCGGGAACATAATTCCATTCATATAAAGTTTGAAGATAAAATATAAAACTATAATGTCGAAGGTATTTATCACTGTAAATTACTGATTTAAAAGATACTGCGTTCGGATTTCCATTTACTCCTGCATACAAAAGTTATCAATTAATTTTATATTTTAAAACCATTATATTTTATTTTCATTTTTATTTATTTTTACTTATAATAAAAAAAATTGTTGCCTTATTTTGATAAAAAAGTTTATATTAACCGTAGTCTAAGTTTACTTTGTTTATTAAATTAATATTATTAATTTGTTATGAAAAGTTTATTAATATGATTATTAATATGATTGTATCACAAATAAAGTTTAGTTTACTTTGTTGAATAAATTAATGTTTTTCTTAAAAAAAAGTAAAATAAGAAAATTGTTCGCCTAAAATTTTGTATTAAAATAAGCAACAATAGTTATTTACGTTGTTACATTAATCAAAAATCAATGAAATTATAATCAGGCAATAAAAATACAAGTATATGACCTTGCATAAAAACCTCTATTTATGCCATGGCGGTACTTATTACAAACCTTACCGTCGCGAATCCGTATTTTTGACTAAGGGCGGACAAAGTTAAGGAAAATATAAAAAATGGCTAGAAAAGTTTGCGAACTAGTCCATTACTTTTAGTTAGTTTACTAAATTTTAAAAGTACTGTATTAATGCAAAAAGTGTTTATTGCAGTGTTTATTAAGAATCATTAAATTTAAAAAAATCATTTAAAAAAAAAAAAAAATATACAATATTTTTCAGAATAATGAGTTGTAAATATTTAAAATCTAAATCACAAAAAAATGAACGAACTTTAAAATAATGCAAAGAACAAAAAAGGAAAAAAACATTATAATATACATCAAGTAAATAGAAAAAATATCAAAATATACATCAATAATGTTACACAGCAATCGAGAGGTATATTTAATCCACCATGGTCTATAGTTTTTGTATAGTCTCCGTATAACTGAAAATAAAATGCAGTATCATTAAAAAAATCATTTTCATTAACATCATTTTTTTTTTGTAGCATAATCTGCAATATGAAACAAAGCCATTTTTGTACTGAACGACAAAGATGATTCAAGGTCAAGTAATTGATTAATGATGTCACAAAATTCTTCACTTATAAAATAGCCACATTTTTGACAAGAATGCTCAATATCAATTGCATAATCTGTAACATCAAACTTTAATTGCAATAACAGTTTAGCTTTTTCAAGGTTTAGCTTTTCAACATTATTTTGAACTGTTATAAGGTATTTTCCACCTGAACCTTGCCTAAACTGACTGAATGCTTTTTCAGTGTATTCTGTTGAAAACTCTCCTAACATAACATAATCAAAATTGTTTTTATTTGGAAAATTACTTTTTAGAATTGAATTTATCTAACGATTTCTTTCTTCTTCAATGGAGAGAAGCCTAAAAACTCGTACTTTACATTTAGCGTCATAGTTTCCTCTACATTCAGAAATACAGTGCTTTTCAACCATTTATTTTAACAATTAATTACTCACAAATCGAACTTTTAAAAAAACCAAAATATATCTTTCCGTAAGATTGTCCGCCCCCAGTCAAAAATACGGATTCGCGACGGGAAGGCCTGTAATAAGTATTGCCATGATTCATGCATAACGTTTTCTACAAACAGTAACTTATTTAATAAATAAAACTTTTAGGATTTATTTAATAATGCGAGACATTAAACATTTGCAAGTTTTATTACCTGGTAATAATAGATAGTAATAATCATTTTTATTATCTGGGAATAAATATGACAACTTTTACACAAAAATATTTAGCTCTAAAAAAGACAATCTTTTTTAAAAAGTTATACACTAAAATGAACAAAAACAATGCTGGAGTTGTTTTTTTTTTTCAATTTTTATATATCAATTATACTTTATAATTTTTAATTTTTTTTTCCATTCGTAACAAAAACCAAAAGTTTTTTATTCCTTTGTTACAAAAGTATGTTTTTGCCATTCTTCTTTATTTGTTTTATAAGTAAAGAAGAATGGCAAAAACAAGTCTGCAGTGAGTAGTGATCATCTGAAACAGAAAAAAAGCTGAAACCGAAATAAACCGAAGTTTTGGGTACTCTAGTTTGGTGCCGAAACCAAAACCGACGTTTCGGCCAATATATTTCCGAAACCGATACTGACATTTCGGCTAGTCAAAATTAGTTTCATTAAAACGTTTTATTTAGAAAAAACAATTTGCTGTATGTGTAATTAAAATGTCTATAGATTGTGATGGTCTTAAAATTCCACCTGACAATGTTTGCCAATATTTTTTTTTGGCATTGTCTTATCCCATTTAATAAAAGATAAAGTTTGTCGTAAATCCTTAAGTGACATCTTTCTGCTAGTTTCTGAATTATACTATTTTGAAATTAATCAAAAACATCACAACACACTTGCAAACATATTTTTAAACAATTATTGTGCACAAATTACACCAAGATCTAAAATAGAACCTGCATTAAAAGTTTTAAAGTTAAAAATTTCTTTAGAAAAGATTGATGCATCTGTTGCTGTTAAATTACATGCATTTTTGTTAAAATATATGTTGTTGTTAAAATATATAAATTTTGATTTAAAATATAATTTTTTTTTTTAGTTTATATATTTAAACTCATTAACAGACATATTTTGACTCCAAAATAAAGTTTTATAGAAAAGTTGCTAACAATCCGTAAAAATAATAGGCCCTTAGTCACGGATTGCGGTTGCGCCCTGAATAGGCCTTCAGTATAGATCGCCTTGTTTTGAATCGATACCGTAATTACGGTTTCGGTACTTCTTATATGTTTGGTAAAAACAAGAAGTTATAATAGACTAGCTAGAGGAAGTTGTAATAGACTAGCTGGAGGAAAAACGAAGTTAAAATACGTCAATTCTCAAAGAACAGTTTTAGTAGTTACATAATTTTCAATTAAACACCGCGGAACATGGCGATCTATACTAAAGGCCTATTCATTGCGTAAACGTAAACCGTGACTGGGGGCCTTATATTTTTATCAGCAACTCAGCTTTAAAATTATATTTTGGAGTCAAAATATGTCTTTTACAGAGTTTAAGTAGTTTATTTTGAAATATTTGTATTAAAATAATTATATAAATATATATATATTTTTTTTGATTGTAGCTTTCAACGTGATCGGACGCGTTTTAACAGCGTGAAAAAGAAAAAACAAAGCAAAACTAAGTTTTAAGTTACTTTGAAAAATAATAAAATTTAAAAACAGTTATACAATATAAAAATAGTTATGGCAGTTACGATTGAACAAATAAAGGAAATGTTAAAAAAAATGTTTAAGGAGTTTAAGAAGGAAACAGAAGATATGGTTAAACATCAAGAAAAAATAGTTTTAAACATTATAAGTTCGAGCACAAAAATTTTATACGAACGTTTGGATAAAGTTGAATTGCGTATCAATGAAAATAGTAAGCAAATAAATTTGATAGAAAAAGAAATTGAAGACATTAAAGTGTGTTAAACTTTCAGGAACAACTGAGTCTGCATTTTCTAAAATTACCAACAAATTAAGAGAGATAGAGGATCGATCCCGGCGGAATAATCTGAGAATCGAAGGAATTAAAGAAAGCGAAAGTGAAAGTTGGAATGACAGTGAAACAAAGATAAAAAACATTTTTTTAAATTATTTAGGTCTAAAAGATATTAAAATTGAAAGGGCACATAGAACTGGTCATATGGATTCACTTAGACCAAGAACTGTAATCATTAAGCTTCTAGACCTTAAAGATAAAGTAAATATTTTAAAAAAATCCCCTTATCTAAAAGGAAAAAATATCTACATAAATGAAGACTTTTGCGCTGAGGCATTGCAAATTAGAAAGGTGGTGAGAGAACAAATGAAAATGGAACGAGCGGCAGGAAAATTTGCAAGTATCTCATACCATAAACTTATCATACGCGATTGGGCTGCAAAGAAAAGTATAAATGTATAATCCTAATATTTTAATATCTTATTTTCATGATTAGTATATTTTACTTTTTGAAAAATGGATGATAATCTTCAACTTAATTCTAATACTGAGTGTGATGATGACTATTTCATTCAAAAATACTTTGAAAGTGATTATTATTCAATATTTGAATCTACTCAGTTTCTTAGTAAAATAGAAAATAAAATTTTTTTTTTTAGTTTTCAGTCTAAACATTCCACAATCTAAACAGTATTAATAAAAGTTTTGATAATCTAAAATTCTTATTGCATGATCTAAATCACGATTTTAAAATAAATAGTCTCATGGAAACGTGGTTGAAAAGTAATGAAATAAATTCTAATTATGAGTTAAGTAATTACGTGTCAATTCACCAACCGCATCAAACCCACGTTGGTGGTGGTTTAAGTATCTATGTTCACAAATCTATAAACTTTATTTTACGCAATGATCTCATTGTTAACAAAGTAGATTGTGTGTCGTTATGCATTGAAATAAATAATAAGGCAACCAAAAATGTTATTACCAATTCAATTCATAGAAAACCAGCTGGTAATTTCAAAAGATTTCAATCTTATTTGAAAAATCTCTTAAGCAAAGTTAACATTACAAAGAAACACGTGTACTTAACTGGTGATTATAATTTAAACTTGTTAAATCATGCTTCAAATGTATATGTTCAATATTTTTAAGATCAGCACAAATATAATTACCACAATAAAAAAGTCAACGAGAATAACTAAGACCACGTCGACATTATTAGATAATATATTCACTAATAATTTTCATGATTGCTTCTTAGAATTGAGTATTATCAAAATCGACATAACTGATCATTACTCAATATTCTTAGTTACAGATAATATAACCCTTAGCCATTCCGCCTCTAAATCAACAATCTTAATACGACAAATCAATGAAAACTCTTTATTATACTTTCGAAATCTTTTATCTGAAAAATTGCAACCTTATATTACAATCACAAGACGCGAATAATGCGTATGAACTATTTTTGATGACCAAAAGGAACTATTTTTGATGACCAAAGGTTTGTATAAATCATCAAAGAGAAAACAAAGACTTTATAAAAAATATTTAAAACATAAAACATATAAAAATGAAAT